AATATTTTTTTAGGGATGCTTTAGGACTTGGGCTAAAAATTACTTCAATAAAAATTATAGATTTTTTTATCTGTGTTCTAATAGAAGTGTAATTAAAAAACAATGAGAGAAATATTGAACTTCTTGTATAAAAACTTTGAATATTCAAGATGATTATGTTTCGTTGCGATGCAGAAATTAGATGTTTTGTAAATAAGTAAAATTTATTTATTTGTTTATTAAAAATTTAAATTTATCTCTTGTGTTGACCTTTGTAGGCTTTCCCTTTAATATGAATACTAATACATTTGTTGTGAAAATGTGTGAGATACATGTGTCCTAAAGTGCACATTAAAAATACAAGTACATTGCGTTTACTTGCTACTTCGTGTCATTATTGCGAATTTGACTTGCCCGTTTAAAAGTAAAATTTAATTAAAATTATCGATCTGACCGTTTTGAAGCGACGTCGAATATTCATCGGCTTTACAAGTTTGCATTTATGTAAATTCGTCTTAAACTATAGAACAATGGGTTGTACAGCAGTTGTCGTACTGGCCGCAGAGCATCTTACCTTTACCTACTGTGTGCAGAAAGCGAGCAGCTTCTCCTCCGATCCTTACAAGGTTCGTAGAACCTTGCCAGTCGTCACGTATGCAACAGTGATTCTCAATTCGTCCGACATTCACAAAAAGATTCCCGATTGACTTATATTTTTCGCGTAACCTTGATCTTTCTTAGTTTTTTACCGCGTAAACTCTACATTAAAACAATACACTCGTGAATTGAAAACAGTCAAAATCTCTTGAAATTGAAACTCTACATTGTATACTGAACAACATTGACACGTTTGTGCAATTACAATGAGATCGACTGTTTGAATATTGAGTTATAAGCAATTAAAAACTGCACTTTTTATATGTGTTGCGTATGCCTACAAAGTTCATGAAAATGTCGCGTTTATTTTTGTAGAACCTAAACTAGCAATGATATGTTATTAAAAACTAGCAAGCAATGGAGAAACATGAAGCAGAGAGTGTGAAAAAACCTCATAACTTGTTACGTGTAGTTTGAAAAATAGAGCTGTGAAAAAATTTTGCAATTTTCGTAAACATTTTTTTTTTTTGGTCAATCCGTCGTATGAATTAAAGGGAGAATATAAATATAGTAATAAGCTACGTTATCTATATTTATTTGTTTCTCACGTGTGGTGCGGCCTATGAACATACAGGCTCAATCAAAAGTTATCTCTCGCTGACGGGAGTAAAAGTATCCCCATCGAGCATGCGATGAAACCTAACTTTTGAATGGTATCGTCGCAAGTGAAATTAATTAGGGCTACGTTCCGTTTCACGCATGATGCACATATTGCATTATTTATCCTTGTTATTCACCGAATGTTAAACAAGGATAAATGATGCATCATGCGCATCATGCGTGAAACGGAACGCAGCTTAGATATCATATTGGATTAAATTTGTTGAGATCGAATGGTTACGTTTGGCGCCATGCGAGCGTGGTGTCGCGAAATTCGAACGATGATCGGATCAGCAAAGGATGAGAGGGCACAATGCGACGACCGATACGGATCTTGTTCGTCACTCCTCACGATCTTCATTTATCGCTTACGCATCGTGAAGTGAATCGGTCGTTTCCTCCTGGCGGTGGATACGAAGAACCCACGTGCCATCGTGAAAACGTAACGGGCAGTGTAACGGTGTTACTATTAGTGACCGTAACGTACCATGACAGACGCTGCCTGGTATGCATTAAAATGCCGCGTGTGACTTTTTTGTTAAAGCGCAAAAGAGAAAAAACGGAGGGTGCGAAATCGTTATATACCTACATATAACACACTGTGCGCGCGGTTGCCTTAGACTTTGATCTAACAGTTTGTTCCGATTTTATTCCGCGATAGGAACAAAAAACGCGAGACTGTTGGACGCATATATCATGCATAAAGTGGCGTCGGAACAACCGTTACCCTGCATCTCGTACGCGACGTTATGACCCAGCAAACGTCAAATTACATGTAACGTATGTGTTAGTTGTAATTTCCCACTCGATATAAATATAACTGTATTATAACACGTGTGTTATATTACAGTTATATTGTTGAATGAGAAATTACAATTAACATGTACGTTACATGTAACTTGGTGTTTGTTGGGGAATTGTATCAGAATATTTTACGTGTCCGTTACGTCTGCAACGCATCCACCTGCGATGCTTTGATAGAGTGCATTGATATCTCTATAACTGTTAAAGCAAAAGAATCGTAATAATTAAATTATAATTATTATCAAGAAGAACAAAACATAGAAGATGTAACTTTACTATTGAAAGTTACATTTATACAACTTTATTTATGTACGACTTTACATTTATTTTCTTCTTTTTTATTTCTAATGGCCACGTCCGCGACATCGTATTAATTTGTATAACGACTTCGATCTGTGAAATGTGAATTGACGGCATTGTTGAGCAAGTGGCTGGTGCATCTGGCTGGGAAATCTCAATTCCTAACAAATGCTGAAGAGCGAGAAAATGGAAATAAAAATTGTTATCTTGATGTTGAGCAACGCGTTCCGCGAAACTTGGAAACCACGCAGTGCGGCTTTCCGTGTCAAGAACGAGATCGCAATTTTACGGGTGAAGATACCTGAGAACGAGAGCTAACAGAGAGAGTGAGAACAGCTGCCTCCTAGCCTTTTGCGTAGCAGATTGACGCTATCGGCGAAAGCTGAACGTCGTGGAGACGCTTTCAGGGCCGCATTAACACTAAAGGCTGACCTAGGTTTGTTTAGGGATGGCAAGTTTAAGGGAGCGGCATTCTTTTTTTAAATTCTTAGCCATTTTTTGCCAGACGCGGATGATTAAAAAAAATGTCCATCGGTCAACGATCGGTAGATTCGAGTCGAGGTTCGCGACTTTTGTGTCAATTTCGTTTCACCAGAGACAAATCTGAGAGGGGCCATGCCGGTTTTTTTCGTGCAATCATCGATACATAAATTGGAACGAGGTTTGCGGTAAAATTTATTACTAGTGAAATGTTCACAAAAATTTCTTTTTTTGGTTGCTCGTTGCAAACACAGACTTGGAACATTCCGGTTTGAAGGTTAAATAGGGGAAGCAACGATTTAAGTGCTTAGCAGCTGTAGAAATCTTAATCTGAAATTCAGTATTGAGTTTATAGAATTAAGATTGAAAGCTTTAAAAAAAGATTTATATCAAGAGCAAATTATATGCTTAGTGGAGAATAGAATAATAAGCACAGCAGTGTGTAAGTGTCGAATCTTGCAGGAGATGGCGCTGCATTATGTTAGATAAGGGATTGTATGGGTTTGAGTGAGACAGAATAATAATGTAAGAAATAAAAAATTAAAGATATCATTATTATCGACATTTTTATTTGTAATTAAAAAATGTATACCGATAACGATCAAGTTCGGCCATCACTCTGGCATCCTTTTAACTCGCTACGTCAGATTAATCGCTGGCTACCGCGCGCGCGCGCGCGCGCGTCTGCAGCTGCAACGCGATGCATTCGCAAGGCTATAGTCAAGGACACCCGTACCGGTTGAGGCTGCGCTGGAACAGGATGCCAATGACGCGCTCCAGCTAGCCGCGAACGAGCTTCGCGCAATTCGCGGTTAGCACGTAACAGACGATTTAGCGTATACAGGGTCTCTAAAATGATCCCACTCTTGGTTCTCGGAAACGACTTTAAATGTGGAAAAAGATTTCAAGGAAAATTTGTAGGATATTAAGGGGAACAGATGTTGAAAATGAGTGACTTTTTGCAATCGATATTTTCGCGTTCTTTTAAATGTTATTCCTAAAATGGGCACGATAAGCAGCTAGTTCTGAGTCAGGTGTATCGGAATAAGCAAGGAAAATGGAAGGAGAGTGGCTTACGTCACGAGTCGAAGATTACAGATATCGCCTCCACTTCCATCTCTAATCGAGCTTCTCTTCGTGCCTTTCGAATAATTTTGATCTGTATCCGGCCTAAAGCAGAAATCGTAGGTAATTACCGTTACTAACGCTATACCGGGGAATTGCCGCGAGGCACTTAAACGGGTAGAGAGGCGATAAACCGAATTAAAACGAGCGATCGAAGGTGCAGATGGGTGATGCAACATAATAATGGTGGTTGTCTCTCCTCCTACCCTCCCGCCGCCGCTTCCTTCCCGATAATTCCATCGCTTGTTAAAATAATGGTAATAATCTAATTGGCTTGCGCACGATAATTTACGCCGCTGTTAATCAGCCCGTAAACACAAGGGAAAAATATTAGCAATTAGTAGAAAAATTACTGATAAACATGAAGGAATTGGATTGTGAAGAAATGTACGTATGCGCAAAAAAAATGCGTACATACGCAAAATGTCTATTTCAATTGTAGAGGTAACGATTAATTCATAGGCAACTTACCAGTTCGGTGGGCATAGTGTTGCAGGACCTGAGCGGCAGATTGTAAGTGATCGGAACGGGCTGACTCCTGTACTCCTGTAGACATGAACTGTTTTTCGATAAGCCGCGCGGATAGACCAGACCGTGGAAATCCGTGTTATGCTCCGTCGAGATATGAACGATTATCGATTCGCTCGCGCACTCGATCTGCACAGTGCTCGCTATCGCAGCGGTCGCTGAAAAAATGAAATCAATAAATATGTTTATATATATATTATATATATGTGTGTGTGGGTGTGTGTGTGTGTACGGGGTAGAGCGGAGCTTTTTCGTCCATTTCTCACGATAATATTTACGTTTCTGAACAGCATATGTTGATTATTTAAAGGTTGTACTTGTGCTCTCAAGAAGCAATCATGATTGTACAATGCAATTATTGTGCCATTTTTTTGAGAATTGAAAATTCGTTTCTGGTCGTTGGCCTGTGACTAATTAAGCAATAAAAGTGCGATACACGCACCGAATCGTGTAAGCATTGCTCCTGTAGCGTGAAATCATACAGCGGCTGCTGGGGGTACAACCCCGCGTTCATCAACTTTGCGCGATCGCATTATGATCAGCGACGAGAACTTCAATTAAATGTATGACGTAGCTGCTGCTATGGGTCAAATTGCAGAGTCGGACCGTGTATTTTTGAGCGATGAAAATTAAACACGTAATGAAATAAGATATCATTAGCGAGAACGATGGCTCGTATATCGTTGCTACATTGGAAATCGCAGGATATATATCGAAACACGTGTCTGATTTATATTTCTTATAGTATATTCCATTTACGCTCGACAAACTAACGTTTTGTTAATACATAATCGACCAAATCTGCCATTACCAGCGAGCACTTAAAACAATGCACATTCATCGCGTTTAATAAGGCCGCTGCAGAGTAAATTATTGCTCCGAAAAATTCATTAGAATCATTTCTACGAACGGGGGAAACACGGCGTGAGTAAATTAGGAGGCTTGCATGTCTCTCTCCCGAACGATAATAATCATTGGCGGATTATCGTTATCAACCCGCAGAAAGACAATGATGAGAGAGTTATGAACTTAACTCGCTAAACTTTGCTGGTAATCACGTTGAGTGTACCATCGCTCTCTTCCTACTCTTGCCGTGACGTATCTTATCCATTATCCATAATAAGTACCGCGACGTGTCAATAATTGCTTCCGCGAAAGAATATAATAAGATAAGACGAGTTTTTTAATTCATTACTTAAATTTATTTAAAGCAATATATTATATTTGAGGATCTAAACTGCCTGAATGGAAAGTCCAGCATGGGTCACGTTTTATGACGAACGCGTCATAAAACGTATTAATGAGTCCTATACTCGCTTACATTCAACGTCACTTTTTTATTCGGTTCTTTTTTCTCTCGCAGTGGTATAAGTACTATAGGTTTACCTCTCCGCCGTCCGTACATCACCTGTACTTTCGCACACACACACGGATACGGTATTCTTTTCTTTTTCCGTCTCTGACTCATAATCAGTGAGGTTCCAGAAGGGCGTAACAAAGGCGTGCCGAAGAAGACGTTCCCCCAAGTGAGTGCAATTTGCAAACGGCACACGAGTGTCTTACTCGCTACGCAACTTCCTTCGCGTTTCCGGACGTGTTCTTTTTTTCATCCTGTTTTCGTTGAAATTCATCTTACATGCTTCCGAGCGAAAATTGCCGCTGCACGATTCCTTGATAGCGGATACGCAATGAGATAGTCCGGACATAAAAAAAATAGTGATTATTTTATAAAAGCTGGTTTTTTCAAATTTGATTGTATTTAAAAATAAAAATGCTAGAGTCAGTAGATCAGGTGACAGAACTTCTGGCGCCGATACTCTTTCAAAGACGTAAAAAAAGTAGCGTCATAAAAGTATTTTATAAAAGTGGAAAATTTATGTAGGAATAGTTTTTTGCAAAATGCAGAAATATAATTGTCAAACAGCCCAACGTCAGAACATGTCGCGTCAGCGCTATCTTAAGGATATAAAAAAAAATACAACGTAACTATTTCGTAAAATCTAAAATTTGATAGAGCACTAAATTATTTAATATTGTGTATAAAAAAAAATAGTCAACGGGATTAACATCTCGTCAGACGTGATTAAAGTAATGATGTTTAACTACACGGGATTGCGCTATTCTCCATCCTAGGTCTCTGTTGGAATTAATTATAGATAACAATTAGTAATGTAAATATGAAACAATGCATAATGAACATATCATTAATCCTATGCACACAATGAGGGCAAAATTTACCACGGAAGAGCTTAATAGAAGCGAGAGTTTCTACGGTTTATTCACATCGTGAATGAAGGGGCAATAAATGTTCGTCGATATCGAGGAATTAGCAAAACCGGTCGTAAGAACGGTGAAACTCCGGGCGAAACCACGAAAGCCATAATCGTCATACAGACACGCACAGTTATGCAAGAATCCGGTGTGCCTTTCGTGCATGAGATTTTAATGCGCCATGATGGACACGAGCGGCATAAGATATCGGGAATACACAGCTAAACGCAGCGCGACGTTGAAACTTCCTGTCGTCCTTAGGCTCGCTTCGCCGACGCGACTCGGCACGGAGGGAATGTCACGCGGCGAATCGCGCACGCGATTCTCCGGAAAACGCGTGGAAAATTGCACGAGTAATAGACCGTTCGGTTCTTATTACAGCGTGCACACACGCGCGACGCCGAGATTATAGAATTTTCTTCAAGAAGTCTCTTCCTCGAGAAAACGATAAGAATTGCAAGAATTACGTTTTCATTGAAATCATAATTACGACATCGTAAACCTGGTTTACGATTTTTTGCGAATAACCGATCCAATAGGTTTTGTGCACAGGATTGGTGTGATATAAAATACTATTACGCCGTCTATAAGCTCCGACGATTAGCGATACAATAGCCTCCAACGAAATAAGATTAACGATTCCAAATTTAGCGGCGATTAATTTACATAATCGTCGAATCATCTCGCTCTCGAACATGGATTTCGCTGCGCAAAACTCTCGTGGTGAAATCGGAAAGCTTCGGCTGGAGCCATGGAGAGAATCAGAGAGAAGAAAAACATTTAGGTCGTAACGCTCGTTAAGATTTTCGGCAGAGATCGCCGGATGTATCTTTGCGAAATTTTCTTCAGCTCATCTTAAATCACAGATATATTAGCATTAGCATCAAATTTCGTAACATATTCATTCAACAATCAATGATCAGTACGACTTTCTAATTCATTGTTGAGTTACAAGGATTGCATCTTTTGTCCGACTGTTAAATATACAAAACTGATTTATGTCCATTTCTATTAATATAGATTTACTTTAACTTCGGGTTTAATTTACTTTCTTTACTTTTTATCTATTTCTATTTCTAGTAAGAAAAAGATAAAGAGTAAATTAAACCGAGATTAATATTAAATTATATTGATAGAAACTGATTATCAAATTCAAAGGAAAAGACGTAGTGGTACGCAATAATTATAAATTAAGGTCATTATTACATTAAAGATGAGAATTAATTTATATTCAAAGTTAGATGCGCTCAGAGAAAAACATTGTGATGATAACTATAAAAGTGACAACTACACGAGTTTTTTATGTAAAATTAATGAGCGTAATAAAGCAGATTGTTTTATAGTTATTGCAAGTATAAAATAGTGTATCCAATTATGTATATTAATTCTACAATAAAACTTGTACTATTGTCACTTTTATAGTTGCTATGTTTTTCTCTGAATGCATCTAACTTTGAATATAATTTAATTACTGCTATTCCGTACCTTCCTGTTAATGGTCCGTCATTTATTAAAATTTCAACAAACTCGTGCCATAACGGAACGGAATTAAGTCGTTCATATAAGTATATCATGAGGCAGTAGCTCTATATCTAGTAATCGTGAATAGCGGTAATTTTCAATAACGGTTCGGAATTAGGCGGAACGAATTATGCAAGTGTGACCGGCTCTAACGATCGGCCAGTAAATTCCGTTAAAACTAGCGAAACATCATTTCTGTTGGTCTGCCAGCTCTTATAACTGTCATAATGTCTTGCACGCGTTTCGCGTCCGTATCGTAGTCCCGCTATAGCGACCGGAAGTTCCTGCTGAGCCTCTCTTTATACTTGGAACGTTATATAACGCGTTTATTTTATCATCGTTTATCGTGGTAGATATAAAGCGAGATACCTTCTTTGCAAAAATATGAACACCTCTCAACATGCTATTTGCATTGCGTGTGTATTATAGACGCTCGTGCTTAAGACGCGCTTGCACTTCCGTTAAACTCTTCCAAGTAACGTTCAAAGAAGAGATGCACATCGAATAAGTTAATATATGTATAAGTATCTACAGTTTTACAAAAAGAATGCACGGAGCGCAACAAGTATAAACATGTACGTAAGTAGCCTCCCTACGGTGCTAAGAACTAGAGATGTGCGAATTATTCGAATACGAATCAAGATTCGATTTGATCTGAATTTGAATTTTTTTCGCTATGATTCGAACACGAACACGAACAGACATGTTAAATCGGGCGGCCTCCAGAGTGCCCTGCACCCATTGTACCTCGGCTTGAAACGGCCCTGCTGGAAAACACACTTATTTAGGTGTTGCTACTTTCCTCTATTACTCATAACGTCAGTCTCATATAGAAGATGAGATGCCATAAGTACCTAACGCAGGGTCTTTGACCTTCAAGGACATTTTGTATTACAGATGCCAGACGATCGTAAGAGTTTAGCACGTCTAGAAACGTTGCGTGTTATCCCATCTGGTGTGTTTCCATTTTTAACAGAGATTTTACTAGCATTCTAAAAGAAAAAAAAAATTTTAATGAGATAATTGCAAGAGCCATGAATAACAATAAGCGATTCGCGCGACGAATTCCGTTACGCAAAAAAGTTACGCAATCATCGAGACGCGCAAGGTTATATCTGACAAGGCTGTAACCATCACAGTCCATCAGTATACATCACACAATGTATACGATCCGTTATTCAGGCTATACCTCCGAATATTTCGTCAAAGTTCATGTGAAAGCCATTTTTATGCTTGCTGCACACGCTATATATTTACCAGAGTTGAGAAGTAAGACGTTACTTGTAATAAAATACAGTTAGAGTTACTTTTTTTCAGTAATTGTAATTTAATTTCGTTCTTCTTTTCCCATTTGTAACTGTAACTTAATTTACAATAAGCCTCTTTATCGGGCGTTAAATCAAGAAAGTACGTGCGAGAGGTCGATTACTTTCTATAATCGTTTACTTCCAAACCGTTATACTTCGTTACCACAAGCATCTCACCTCGAATCATTGTCATCAGGCGTATTGTGCCGTCGTGTATTAGAAAGTGCACATCGTGTGGAAAGCATCCACTTTTATCTGATTATCCGGCAATTTGGTTTTACGAGGAGGAAACTGCAAGCGTGCGATTTTTTCACGAGAGAAATTTCGTGATGTGTTTGAAATCAAGCGAGCCAGAAAAAAAAAGAAAGGATGAAATAGATACGCAAGAGATATCATGCGAATTTCTTCCGATTCCGCATACACAAGATCAACGACTAATTGATTAGTCTTAATTAGTTGTCGCCCGTCGCTGAGACAATTAGAAAGTAAGTCTTGTAGTTTATGTATACTCACACGTCAGTGGTTGTTGAAATATCTGGGCTGCGTGTGTGCTGCTATCGCTGTGCCTCATTACTGTGATCTGAAAATAAGGGAAAGGTGATGTTTTAGATTTTCTCGCTTAGCAAGATAGGATTGTTAACGTTGACTTAGCTGCGCTATCACTTTGTGTTAGCCGTTGGCGGTGAGCGTATCGCACGAATGTAATTATAGAATAGCGCAACGCACATGGTATTGTAATACAATTGTAACACGCGTGGCGCAAGAACTTCAAATATATAACGTTTAAGTAAGAGAACTCATACTTATAAGCCTCAGAAAGTTCATTCAAGCCAGTCTTGTAAGAGACCTTTTACTATTAAAAATCTAATAAAGAAGGCTATTTCTGGGAATTTTTTAAAATAATATCTATGAGATGAATTTTCATAGGATTTCTAAAGTTATTATTCTCTCTGAATCTTTAGAGTGAAAATTGAGCCAGTTTTGATAAAAAAAAAGTAAAAACTTTTCACTCTTGAACAAGAATGGTAGATTTCCACTCTTTTGGAGTAAGGTTTCATTTTTTTAGAGTGAGATTCACTCCAAAGGAATGAAATCCCACTCCTTTTTAAGAATAAGACTTTCTTCCTTAGTGCGACTTTCACTCCAAAAGAGTGAAATCTTATTTCAAAAGAATGAAATCTCATTCCTAAAGAGTGAAAATCTGTCACTCTTGTTCAAGAGTGAAAATATTTTCACTCTTATTTTCAAGACTGACTCAATTCTTAATTTTTTATAAAGTGAGATTTCACTTTAAAATTCCGAAAAAAATAGCCGACTTAAAAGCTGGTGCAAGAATGCGTTCCGAGTTACGCATGAAGTGCACGTTGCATCATTTTATTCTTCTTTATTATTTGATGAACAACAAGAACAAATGATGCATCACGCACTTCATGCGTAACTCGAAACGAACCTTAAGTTTAATTATTTGCTTCACTCAATGAAAATTGCCTACTTGACTATTCTCAGTCAAATCCAAAGGTAACGGTGTAACTTAACCTTTATGTACCTTTATATACATTATGAGAAATTTTTGCATATTACATCTTATTCATGATAAGTGCTACCATTCTAACGTAGTATACGAAAATTCGACTTACAAAAGAAGATACGATATAACATCTAAAAAAATCTACTTTCCTTGAATTTCTGGATACAACTATGTTTACTATTTCATCTAGGTCCCATACAATAACTTTTTGTAGTTTATTAAGGGTTCGCAGGGAGGATAAAAATCGGACTTTTTAACATCCTCTTTTCATGATAAAAATACCTGCGGCAAACGCTGACGTCAGTATTAACATCGGCGCTTGTTCGTGCAATGAAAGTGGTCTAACAAGTCACCAACCATTCAAGTGTATACACACTTGGAACGTGTCCCCTGCATTACTCTCTCTCCCTCTCTCTCTCTCTCTCCCCTACCCTCCCTTTCCTCCCACCCTCCTCTCTCATGGACCGTATTTGTGACTATATGTATTTAAAGCGCTAAAGTGAAAGCGATAGCAAGGGCACTATATTTGACGGCTGGCCGACCATAATTGCAGAATACTGTATCTTATTAATTTTACGAACGCCCGTGGCAAGGTAGATCATCGTGAGATAGTTATTGCCTGATACGTGATACAATTGAAAATCGAAATGCAATGGACATCCAAACGCAAAACAAAGAACCAGAGGTATCTCGATGAAGTGTGCGGAGCTATAATCCTCCAACAGCAAGACCGGACCATATAAGGTTCGCAACGTTCCGCATCCGATAGAATCCATTGAGGATTGACCTTTACATTTATTTGCAAAACACGCATTTTTCCTAATAAAACAATAATAAAACAAAGAAAAACTGAAGAACTTGTTCGCGAAATTTTCGAGATTAATAACAATATTAACTAATTGCTGATTTTCTTATTACCTAAAACCTATGATTGATAACAATAATAATTCACTTGGCGTAAGAGTTTTGCTAACAATACAATATATACCTAGCTGTTAGTAAAATTAGCACTGATGTCATCTGAGATAATTTTTCTAAGGAAAGTGACGTTATTTGTCATGTTTTACATTAAAATATAAAGAAGAATTTTGCTAATAGTAATTAACTAAAATTAGCTTCGATGTCGCCATTGTAACCTTCAGTTATCATATATTTAATTAGTACACAAATTTAATAATAATACAACATAATAATAACGCGTGCGCGTTAGCTAAATCAATGTCGCATCATCAACAGAGTATGATCTTTGAAGGTCAAGTAATTTAATAGAAAATTGAAGTGGCGGGAAATAGGACGATTGACAGCCGCGATCCAACACAAATCTAACGTAGATAGAGATCTCCTTGAAAAGCTTGAGATCGCCACCCATTACTCCCTCCTTCGCTATTGCAGACACACTCCGCGATTCTTGTTAGTTAGTCACTCTTGTATGCAATCCCTACACGGCGCACGCCCCCGCGATATCACGATTTAACGCCGCGAGCAAAATCGCGATTATGTTCCGACGGAGCATTTAAGTATTTAACGTAGACATAAAGCTAGAAAAGGATTTCCAAAAGAACTGTTGCTACGCGTAGGCGAAGAAAATTACGTTCCACTTATGGGGATCCTAAAATCATCTGTATTACCGATTAAACGCAATAATTTTTGTATAACAATTTTTTTTTCCTCTTCTACAGATTTGAAAATCCTTTTCCAGGATTAAAGTATACGCATTAATACATGTCTGTAAAGATGTGTCGCATTTTATCGGCAAAACAGTGATCTTGTTGGAATTCAGGCTTCTCTTTAGGATCCCCTTAATTGCGATGACTTCTGAAACTACGAACGCCCACACGAGTCTTCCGAATACGATCATATCAACATCGATTGTATATACCATGCGATTTCATCAATCTCTAATCGGAATGGATGATTCCATCAGCGAATCCTTGGGTCTGCATAGATGAGTAAGGTCATATCTCTTATGGTTCGTATGCCTATTGCACACTGGACGAGATGAGTGACGAGCGACATCCAATAAAAGTTTTATTTTATATCGTCACGTACAAAAACGCAGAGCTTTCATTGGATATTTCTTGTGGTTCATCACGTTTAGTGCAAGAGGCGCTTTCAACACGCTAAATAGCAGCTCGATTGTCGGATGACGTTGATATTTCACAGCGAGAAATGGAATGTGTTGGTCTTAGACGAGTTTTTTTTATTTTTTTCCTCTGTTCGTCATACAAAGTATTCAACCTAACAATCCGCATGATCTTCTATTAGTGATGATTTAATGAATTTTTTTCCACCGAGCCGGAAAGCGATCCCACGACTATTGTGAGTACAGTGACATAATCTGTACTCACAGTCCTCCGAAACAGCTGTAAAACAGTCATATTTGAATAATAAATATTTGCGTTACCATACTTGTTTGCTTATGCCATCTTCCAATACTACTATAAAAATATATATAGTATATTGCGTTATACAAATTTTGAATGACTTTCATTATAAGTAGTAAATTGCTTCCTCACCTCTCTCTTTCTTTTTTGTATTTATATAAAATAAAATTTGCTAATTTATTCTTGTTCTCGACTTTAATCATTTTCTACACTTTTATTTTCGATACTATTTCCACTATAATTAAAGAACTTCCGTAAGTGATATCAACACGGTAGTGTCGCTGCGCTTGGCTTAGCGCCGAGACACTATCGTGTCTCCTGATACCTGATGAGGAAAGAGAGAGAGAGACACAAATATCAGTTAAACATACTCCTCCGTTGATAATTTAAAAAACTAAGCAACGACACGCACCGATGCGCAATTAGAGAGAAAAAAAGCACTCATATTCCGCTGTCATTTGCCTTAAAATCGCTTGAAAGCCGTCCGACAGCTTTCTCGAAAAAACTTACCTATTTGTTAAATTTTTAATTGACTAACATGTTGATCGAGTATTAAGAATGCGGCTGTTTAATGCCTATGCGGTTCAACAACAACTCCTTTTTTGGAATGTGTCGTGCGCCAACAAAAAATTATATAATACGCCACATATTTAAGCAACACGCGTATACCACACGGCACGCACAATAGAAAGTGTGTATACATTACAGATATCATTAATCCACGCCTAAGGTAAATGTCCCAGTGACCGGACATATACCTATGTTTAAACACCTAAGTCGGTGTATTCATAGTTCTTATTTTAAGACATTACTTATCTTAAGTAATATCTTAAGATGTTAATACGGTTCTCTGATTGGTTCGTGACATCTTAAGACCGTACTAAAGACGACTTATCTATTACGTACTAATTGACGATACCACTCACCTCTTTTATAATAATGGAAACCTTTTACGCTTTGTTGTCACTTCAAGCGTTACTTTTTGTTGAAACTTTCAAAATGAGTCCAAAGTATCTTAAGCGTTACAAGACAGTGTTTTTAGTTTCGTATATAGAGAAATAAAAGAACCAAAATTGACGTATGCTCGGACTTCAAAATGTTTCAGTGGTAAATGTTTACAATAGGGGAATTTAGTTTCAATTAATTTGATCTTGATATATGTTGTGTCAAGATTACGACTTTTTTTATTAATAACTTTTTGACAAGTAGCGAATACCAACTAAAATCTATTGGAGGTCACTTAGGGTTACGATTTTAACAACGTATATCAAGGTTAAGGTCATCGGAGCTGGGTCCCCTATTGTAAACATTTATCCTGTAATGACGAAATTATTGATACATTACAATCGTATAAAAATCTTCGAATTGACTAAACAAATTAAACAATCCTTTTATAGAATTAAAGTAGATGAAATTAGGAAGTGGGGATTTTATACTAAAATAGAAAAAAAAATAAAAAATTCATATCTTTTAGTTCATAGAGATGTCACTTAACGTAGACAGACAGTTTCTTTCTCTAGATACTCTAGAAAAGTTCTATTAAGTCTCTCTTCTCTTAAGCTCGTAAAAGATAAAATGACATTGGACAATCCGTCGTCGAATTACGTGAATAAACAGTACTGAGTTTATAGATTAAAAGCTTAAAAATAATTTATATTGATTTACAAATCATGTAGTGTATACGCGTGTGATTAGTAAAAACTTTCAGTATAATAAACAGAGCAGTAACTGTGTCTAGCAAGTGACAGATTTTGCAAAAAAATGGTGTTGCAATATATTATAATAAGGACTGATGTATGCGTTTGAGTGAGACAGAACGATGATGTAAGAAATAAATTAAAGATGTCACTATTATCAACATTTGTAATTTAAAATTTAAAAAGTCTATACTATAGACATCGATAAAATTCCGCCATCACCAACATTCCCATAAAATGTCTTGTTCATTCAAGGTAAATTTTCTTGCGCAGCAAAAGAAACAGTTTGTGTTTACTCACCACTAGAAATGCCAGCACGATTCCTCTCCAGTCCATAGCTAAAATAATAGAAAAAAATCTTATTAATAACTAGGTCGAACTCACACATATGCGCGTAAGATCAATCGCGCAAACATCGTCTACGCCGTGTAAGAGGCGCCAAATACAAAAATTTTTTATTTCTTGTATATTCTTAAGGTATACTGAAAAATGTAAATTTCTTTCAAACACGGTTAAAATTTTGATGAAACTGTACAAGAACAAGTGTAAGTGTTTACTATATTAAAGAAAAAATTTCATTGACTTTTATATAATAATTCTAGAAAAGAATTTTCGAAGAGGAAAAAAATAATTGTTGTACAAAAGTTATTGCGTTTTATCTACTAAGATAAAACAGACAATTTTAGGACTCCCTTAAAACAACTGAACCATTTCACTCTACCGGATTATTCTTTTTTTATTACAATATGGCTCTTTCTGTCAACTTTGAGGTCGTTTCCAATTATACCCGTATATATCTTTTAGCTTTATATTAATTCTACTTAATCTACAGAAGACCTATGCAGAATACCTAACATTCCTCCATTCTATCCGATAATTCAATTTGAAACATCAAGGTAGCCTTGCATTCTTCCTTCACCCCATTTTATGAACAACAATTTTAATTATTTGCGGCTGTAAAAAGAAAAAAAAAAAAAGAAAAATAATCGCGACGATTCTCCGCATCGTCTCCACGAGTGAGGGTTAAGGACAATCTCGGCGTTGAGATAACCGGTGAATGTTTTTAGGCGGGTTAGTATAATGGAGCTCGGTTTGGATGCAGGCACTCGTACTTCGTAGACCTCGTAGCCCGTCGAGAAAGCGACATGCTTGTTCGCGAAGGCGGTGGTGATGGTGATGGTGGAGGTGGTGTCGGTGTCGGCGGCAATGCACGATGCAACATTCACTTTTTAATACGCCACGATAGACAGCGGTGGCGGCGGCGGCGGCGGCGCGCAGCGATGGAGCATAGTCGACCTCGACCAACCTCGACCACCACCGGACCACCATGGTTGGCTATGACCGTGTGGCCACCATTTTCGCACGCGCGCGCCAAGTCCTTTTTGATGGTTAACGCCATCAAAAGTGTGTATTGCGGCAAGCTCCGTGATTTACGAGACCGCGCCGAGATTATTACCGAGATCGACATGTCGTGTGGATATGCCATGGTCCCGCAGCTTCCACCTTTCTTACAGCTTACAGCATGGAGGAAGGGGCGGTACTTACAGCGGTCAGATTTGTGATCGTAACCAGGGGCGTGTCACTTGCGCACCAGGGACGTGTCTCTAATTATTTTCAGAAAAGTCTATAATATTTGTGTGCAGTTACTCCAAGAAGCGTCTCCGATCCTTATCTGTCACTAAGCTATACGTTAAACGTTACACTTTCAACATTCTTTTTTTTCTCTTATTTCATCGTTAACCTATCCTAGAATTTTACACGTTAAATTCGGTACTTCAACTTTATTATATAAAGAAATTAGACATTTCTATGTGGTAATTCAATTTCTAAAGAACCACCTTAACAAGCCATCGGTATGGATTCCCGCTGTCCGATCGAGTTGAAATTTGGTTTTCTATTTTTTTGTAAATAGAAACCATTCTGAAGGATAACGCGGAAAAATTGAAAAGTCGAAAAATATGGATATGTACCTTATATATTATATCAATAGTTGTATATCAACAAGGTTGAATGATGTGAGTAACGAATATGAACAGGTGTTCTGGCAGCGGAAACAGTTTTCGCGCAGGTGATTTAAAGTGCCGATTCGTATACGGAAGAGAACACTAATCGAAAAATTCAAGAATAATCTACCGAATAATTTACGTGAGAACAATTTCACACCCGCAAATTTTTTTCTCTTCATTAAAAAATTACAAAGAAAATAATGGTAATTTATAGGGATGCATCGGATCGTAAAAATTATCGGATACCGGATATCGGATATCCGGACAGAATGTAATATCGGATATCCGGTATCCGATCGGACATTCAAGGAGACAATTTTTTCGAGTCGAATATCCGACATTTTCCGGATATCCGATCGGATTCCGAGTCTTCTAAAAAAAAAAATTTATAGAGAAAAAGATTATAATTTTGCAACAATGTATAAGACATTATAGCATCATGAATATGCATACTTGTTTCTAACAAAAATGTAAAATAAATCTAGTATATTTCCTCACCCTTATATTCACATTCTAATATTCTTATTGTTTATGAACGTTAATAATTCGAAATGGATCAAATAAATATTACTTAATAATAATTACAATTCAAATAACAATATTGATCAATTATATAATAATACAATTAAAAATCAGTAAAAATGAAATGATTAATGAAATATGGTATCAAGCGTTAAAATCATCGGAGACTTCGATGCCTGCGTACTAAAGCGTGTAAAACAAAGGAGAGTTCAATATTGTGGCTCTATGACAGTCTATGACGATGATAATCTGCATATTTTCTTCTTGTCCATTCTACGAATTAAATTTTTTTTTACATATAATAATTACGGAAAAATGATTATAAATTTTAAAACTCAACACTAGAAAAATCGTGCATATTTAAGAAAATAAATCAAATTTACAATTATTTTGTTCCCCATATTCATAATAACTTTGAAATATTTATCCGACATGGCGTCACAGTATTGGCGACTTGTATCTTAATATCTGCATATTTGGTTAACGTCCGCCCACAATGCGATGAGCGCGATGAACAGCTAAGTGAAACCTTGAGCTCGTTTTCGTTACATAATATATTCATTTAAAATAGAGAGTTATAAAATTAATATTATTCATTCAGTAATCAATTCATTATGACGAATTTTTCAGATATTAATTTATACATAAAAATGCTATTAATAATTTCACAAAACCACTTTTATTATGCCGGAGATATGCTAAATTATCAAAATTATTATTGATCGATTCAAATAATAATTGTTTTAGGCTTTTTCGATTTGATTTTATAAAAATAATTTTATGTAAAATCGAAGAAATAGGTTTTAGATTTTTGATCAAACGGCAATTTATAACAAAAGTATAGTTTGAAGAGAAATAAAGATTTAAAATGCTGCGTATAGTATAAAAATTTTAAGAAAAAATATGCACATTATAATGTACATCGAATTTTAAATTAAATTAGTAAATTAATAGAAACATAGAATTTATCCTCATTATTTCTTAACTGTATTGAATAGAGAATATTATTTTATATTTTGTGTTTTAATTGTATTGTACTAATTGAGAAGAAAACCATTGCAACATTGCAAGCGCCGGCCTTGAATATCCGCCAACGTAACCATCGCGAGAAATTGTTCGCATGAAGAAATAGCGCCATTTTTTTACAATTAAGAAAACTGAGGTCTAATATTTATTTAAACCTAATAAAATTATGCAATCAGAAAATACTTTCTAAAGTAACGCTTAAGAGATCTATTTGTAAGATCAACATAACAAAGTGAAAACGATGTCAAAATATTTTATAAATCAGCGAATTAAAACTTTTGCGAAAGTTTAATATTTGAGCGTTTCAATTTTTTAATTTTTTTAATGTACATTTTCATAATTATGTAAATATCTAACACATCAATAGACGTAGAACAAGCGTATATGTTAATCGCACTAATATTCGTATTACAAAGTACATCATAATGTATTTAATATTTGTTAAATTCATATAAGGTAACTCCAATATTTACGCCTCGCCTACGCTGTAGAAATCAGAAAAAATAGAAAAAGTGGAAGTAATTACATGCAACCACTGTGTTTTATATGTCTTATAATTTCAATCTTTACTGTTGATATTAATAAAACTACTATTAATTGAATCGATTTATCAATATTTATCAATACAGTAAGTAGCACAGCCATGTATCATAACTTACATAAGATAATTACTGTAGAGAGAGCAAAAGATTAACTTAACGGTTATTTGATGATACGTAAGTGTAAAAAGATAATAAAAGATGGAACATAGTAAAACACAAGTGATTAGTTCCCGCATTTTTTGTTCAGTTTAATGTTTTGTAGTATATCCCATCTGTTTGGGATATTCGGCACTTTTAACGAGTGGAATTTATGCCCAAAACATACAAAGTGTGTACGCAAACTGAATTCATTAAATGCATTACATGAAACATGTACCTCATATTACAACATTTGTAATATGTGTAAAAGATCAGAATTATATATTTATCATTCTTATTCTATAAATTTTATAAAACTTTGTAAACACATTTTGTAAGTTATTGTGTCATTTTACGACTTATTTCTAAGCATTATTTGTAATTTTTTTATGAGCTATACATTTCTTCTCTATGAGATATACGGTAAAAATGCAAAGGCTTCAAAAAAACTTTTTTTATAATAAAAAAAAAAGTATTTTAGATTTCTAATATTTTTTTCACAGTAGTGAACAGTACAAAGTTTCTATTGGTGTTATTTATTTACTCTAAACATAGTGAATAATACTCGATAAACTAAGAAATTTTTTGCAATATACCGTGGGAAATTATCTCAATATTATTTTTATAATTTTCAAGAAATTTCACAATTAAAAAGATATCCCACGTTTCGAAATGCTATCTAATTCAATAATAAAATTTAATTTTAAGTTTCTAGAGACAATAGTAGTGTTATAATAAAGATTCTTACCTGCTGCACTGTTTCTAAATCTCCCGAAAATGATTTTGGCTTACTCGCACCGCGTCGCGAAATTTAACAGCGAAATTCCTTTCTTTTTGTCGCGCGTTCGCCAACTTTAGAAATGAACGTGTTGGAAAAGTGTCGAATCAGCGAATAAAGCTGCGCGATAAATCGGTCCGATCGATCATCTGTGATCTCAGCTGCGATGGATCTTCGATGATTTTGTCAAGTGTCGAAAACGCGTCCTCGCCGGCCACAGAGTCCACCTTCCGTACGTCGACATCCCAAAAGGATTACTACTCTTTCTTCCGTTTCTGTATCGCACTTTCTTGAGAATGTCACGATTTACCCGCGTCTCTCTCTTGCAAGCTCGAACGTGTTTCCCGATCGAACGACTCTTCTAGCCGTTCTTTCGGAAAGACTTGGCGCGACGAGTCAATTATTTATTAGCCTCCTCTCGATCAGCTGAATCGTTTATACAGTCGACGCGCGTTTATACAGGCGGCGCCCTTCGAACGCCGTAACGATTTCGAATGAATATCCTCTGCCCACACGATGAATGTCCTTCGAGTCGTTCGAATTTTAAAGTCGTCTCAGTCAGAATCTCGATTATACAGGAAAATCTATGTACGATTTCTCATTTTATTTTATTTTTTTTTTATTCAATTCGTTCATCCGAGGGTATAGAGTGCTATTTAATAAACAAATGTGTTAGGCGTATTGCTGTATTGCGATGTAGCAACGTTTAATAAATATTGGAGAAGCCTATTATTTTAATAAAGTCGTCCGCGTCGCGTATTTTTCATCCATCCTTTATTCCTCGTTCCTCAAAGTTCGTTTCCCGTTTTCCGCTCTGTTCTCTTATTTACGAAACTGCACTACACCTGTTAGTTCCACGAGTCTCCATAGGTCAAACGGAGAACGGACGGCAAAAAAACGCGTCGCGGAAACAATTCCGTAACAATCGACGCGAGATTCGAGACTAAACTCGACTGCACTCACTGAACCTGAATAGCTCGTTCGGCTTCGGCTCGCGGCGCGGTACTTCGTGCCACTTCGTGCTTCCTCGTGAGGTGCGCGCGCAGAAGAGAGTGAGAGGGGAGAAAGGAACGGCTGAGTTATAGACAGAAATAAATGATCGCCCTGCGTGCGAGGGAGAAGGCGAACGAGAGAAGTGATTGCACTGGACGGAGATGGAATAACCAATCGCGCGCGCGCGCGAGAGAGAGAGAGAGAGAGAGAGAGAGAGAGAGAGAGAGAGAGAGAGAGAGACGACACGCTGCATTTTAAATCTCAAGAAAAAAAGGCATAGCGAGTTTGAGGCGATCGAAGACTGGTAGGAGTGATAGGCGGAGGAAGTTCTGCATGAGAGCCTCTTTTGAAGGAAAGGAAAGGAAAAGGATAAAGAAAGAAGGAGAAAGAGAATTGTATGTTCTACGCAGAGTGTGTTCTTAACGCTCGCAACGCTCATGGAATCATTTTATCCTTGTTATGTAATAGTGTTATTTGTCAAATATTAAATAAGGACAAATAATGTGGTCGGTCGCGAGCGTGTAAACGCCAAATGAAACGTACTGAGAGTACGTTTGTGGAATAAAAAAAGGTAGCGAAAAGAACGTGAGAGAAGAGTAGCTTGATACGGCAAAGATTTGATCGCGTCGCATGCTCCAACATGCTCCAACATGCTCCTACCATAGCTTTAGGCCTGTTCTTTCTAGCTAAAGGATTTATCTTTTTTTCTTTTCTCTCCATGTGGGGAAAAAGAGAAAAAAGTAAACTGTGCAAGAAGTTTAGTTAAAAAGAACAGGCATTTCTAGTCATATATATTCTAATGAGCGCGTTCGAGTGAATAGGAGCTATGGTTGGAGCATATTGGAGCATGTTGGAGCATGAGACGTGAATAGACCTTAAGAAACAGCTGCGACCGGTACATAAATGACCAAGATAGATGATTGCCGATAAAACAGATATGGAGCAATATATAAATATATAAATGTTGAAAGAGAAGGAAAGAAAAAAAAACGAAGGTGAGCATGCATGTAAGGAAAAAGAAGAGTGAAAGTGAGTGAGTGGGATGTAGAAGAGATGAAAAAGGACAGATCGCATATCTTCTGTACTTTTTGTTCGATTAGCGGACGTCACGCAACTCACAAGAAAAATGCTGTAGGCTCGAAGCAGGAGGTTAGAGAATGTAGGCAACGGAGACGGAGGAAGATGGAATGAGATTACGTCATCGTTTGAATTATCGTACAATGTCATCACGATCATAGTCCTTCCACGTAGGAAAAGGATATTTCTTCCGATTATAAAATTACTTGCTCTGATTGTTAAAGAGAATTCTTAATAATTTCTCTATCATTAATTTTATTTCTAAAGTTAAACAAATCCCGGACTTTTCATTTGTTGCCGATACACAAAATAATATTTCATGAAATGTTACTATGCCTCTCTATAGTCTCATTCCCGCAAACCAATAAGACGTGAGCAGTAAAGGAATTTGTCAGCCACCGTAGAAAGACCGTTCTTCTTCTTCTTCTTCTTTATTTAATTGGCCCAGGCCCTCGACAACGAGGTGAACATGGCCATGCTTACTAATCACAGTTAAAGCCGGAATCGCTTTTCAAAAAATTAATGGAATGATGCAATACCCGAAGTAGGGCAGACGAGCGTCCGTCCTACTCGAGCAAGCAAACGAGACTTTTTAAAGAAAGACCGTTAAAGTAATAATACGTAACCCAGTACAAATCATAGATACAAAATATTGGCATAAAATTTATCACCAATATTAGCTCGCATTTGTAAAGTAGATCTTGCGTTCTGTAATCAATATTGAAAATTAATATTGACCCAATATTGCATGCAAAAAATGGAAATATGAGTAACTCATTACTAGTAAGTGTAACGAAACCTGAGAGAAGACATGAAGGCCCTTTTCTGTAACCGCAAAATGCCTCTGCGCCTCCTGCACACTATTGCCCTCTGAAGAAGTGGATGTCAACTATACAACAATATCCACTTTTTTTTGCAGTGCTCCTGATAAAAATAAACCGCTGAATAACTGCTGAATAATATTGCTAAAATAACTGAAATCTGTCGAATTAATAAAGATTTTAACGATTTATTTTCATCAGGAGCACCGCAAAAAAAATATTGTTATGTAATTTACATCAACTTCTTCAGAGGGCAGTAGTGTGCAGGGGCATTTTGCGGTTACAGAAAAAAGGCCCTTAAATCCTCTATCTGTTACAAGTAATTTTTTTTGTAACTTCCTGGTGTCAGAAATGGTCCATGAATCACATATTAGTTTCCGAGAAAATTCTAAGAGAGAGATCATACCAGCTTTTTCGCTGTTACCGTCAAAGTCGCCAGTACACCATCGCCAGTGCATGCATTTTCGGTTTGGGAACTACGTGGTTACATCCATTTTTTGACCCTGTCGATAAAATCATAGCACAGAGAACGTCAAAAGTGGATGTGGTCCGAGAAGCTATTTTCCGACAAAATCGCAATTTGCTGCATGTTGAATTACACAAATTGTTGATCAAAAATTTTGCATTAATATACATATGCATACATCATACGCAAACGTAAAAATATACATACACGCTACACGCACGTATATAGTATTCGTTTACTAAAGTTTTTTTTCGTATACGTTTCTTTTCAAGAATAAGAACACAGAAAACAAATTATTTTTATTTAATCGGAAGAAATTCATTCATTTCTAACTAAAAAACAGTTTTTAAAAACAATTTACCGTTTTTTTTTACCCATTACTAATTACGACCCAAGAAGTGCGCTTGCAAAGCGTTAAAAAAGCGGTTATATGCGCTTGACTGCGTTTAGGAATCACGCTCAGATAACTCTAAGCTATAAGTTACGTTACGTAACTTATAACAAAAATGTACACTGGAGTTGCATCGCGCAGCTCTTGTAAATCTAGAATTCTAATTGGCTGTACAAACAGCGTTGATAGCATTAGCGTTCATAAGCTACATAAACATTATACAAGCTACATAAGCCTAATACGAGCAACAGCGCTTTGACACAGAGCGCTGATTGGTGAAAAGTCGGTTGTGGGGGTAAAATTTACTTCTATCACCCGTTTTTCACCAATCAGCATTCGGTGTCAGAGCACTGTTGCCCGTATAAAGATCCGGACTATTACGTAACGTTGCGCTGATAACGTCTCCCAGAAGACACACCCTTGGCAAATTACGATACTGTATAAATATAGTCCGACGTATTTAAATCGACTTGATAGCCTGTTGTTCAATATATTTTTTAACTAACAGCGAGTGTATACGTTGTTTTTTCTCACTGTGTTTCTAGAAAGAAAATTCTACAATTTTATTATATATACTTCATAATGAAATCTCAATGGGTGTTTCTATTTACAATATTAGTCTTTACAGTCGTGAAAACTAAAGAAAAGTTGAACAATCGGCCGATCATCGGTAAGTCTTCGAAAACATCTTGAACCTACGTAAATCACTGTGTATCTTTACTCTACTAAGGTTAGGTACCCTACCTTACCCAAACTAAGTTGATGCAAATAAAATTATGTTCTGTACTACTGTTAAGAGCAACCGTAACTTCATTAAAAAATAAACAAAATTTAAATTTAAAAAAGGGAAATTTTTAAACTTGAAAAAAAATTTTAAAGCTTGAAAATTTTACTTTCCAAAACCGACTATATTTTCTAAATTTATGAGTTTGATCATTTTTACATATAGAAAACTACCAGCTGAATAAAATGAAAAATTTTCTTCTCACTTCGTAGATCTGTCACGTGCTCCAAAAAAATTGAAAAAAAATGTTGACACCTATCGTGAAAGCTTGAATAAGTTTTCTTTACAAAATTACTTTTTAATAATGTCCCTAAGATTTTTTGTTCCCGAGTTACTCGCGGACTAAATAAAAAAGCAGCATTCTGACTGATTGCTTATAACTCATTATCACTTAAAAATCATTATATCGGAATAAAAAAAAAAATATAGATTCTTAAAGCCGAAACTTTGCTCTATCAAAGGGTATAATAGTCGCTAACTTTTTAAAAATATTGTATAATATATTGGAAAAGAAAAACCATCATTTTATAATATGGAAAACAGTCATTTCATTCGCATCAACCTAAATCAACATACTGTGATCACATTTTCATGTTCTATGGCCGCATGCATTTTTGTTATGTGTGAAAAGTTGTAAACTTGTGTGGAATCGTTCATGGGTTTACAACTTTCCATGTGAAAGGCGGTTCCACATAGGTTTCCAAGTTTGCAAAGCGATTTAATTAAACAAAAATTGACTTTGGTTTTACGAGAAGAAAAAAACAGCGGAAACCTTTCGCACCTTTCGCACATATATATACTTAGCGATTGCAGATGGTCCCGCCTTCCTTCCCTCTCCTTTTCTCACTCCTCGCTTGCACAGCGAATAAGCATGATTAATTCTTACCTGTGGATACAATCATCGCTTTGCCGACTTGAACTCGCCTAATGTTTCACCAAAATGGTTTGTTTCAATATTTGTTTATAATTTAGCAATGCAACAAACTTCATATAACATTAAAAGTATTTTTTAATTCGATTGATGATTGATTCAAGCCAAATTAATCAAAGATCGCCCGATTGATTCGAGGAGACTTAATTGAAAGTCGTTTAATTGACAATTGATATGAGCAAATTCAATTAAAGATAATTTGATTAACGATTGATTTAAGGAAGTATTCTCTTTTGGTTTCAAAAAATTGAAATTTTTTTTATTTTTAATTCTAAACCCCTTTCAGAATATATTTTGAAATATTTTGAGAACTCGAATTGCTTACTCATCTTATAGATAATCGATTTGTTTTGAAACAGTATTTTCCAAAATGATTGTCATGGCAATAATTTGTGCGTATGTTCCTTTAAGGTATTTTGACGCAGGAAATAAGTTATAACTTAAATATAACGTATCCTAATCAGTATCACAGCTACATCGCTGCATCGTACGTGAA